TTAAATAAAAGACTGCATTTTGTCCGAAATAGCGTAAATTCTTAAGATATTTTTAAACGTTGAATTTGCTCTCAGGTGTTTGGAACACTTTTATAAAAGTGTTTCACTACTTTAATTCGGCCCCATCTAATTTAAAATATCCCATCTAACTCCATAGAGCAGAATTCTTCTGGAGAATCTAATAGTCGCTCAGCTAGTTAAGAACTTCCCCGACACATTATCGAGTTCTCAAGTGGCCGAGATTTGTTCCTGACCTGAACCAGATAAATCCATACAGCACTCCCACACTGTATTTCTTTTTAAGATTCATTTTAATAGGGGTCTACTATTCTCTGACCGCCTACACGGCGTGCAGCTTTACTCTTTCATGTTATTCTCTAATCTGCGCCTAAATTCTTCAAATAGCATCATGCTTTCAGGTTTTCCTACTAGTATTCATCATGCATTTCTCCCCAGCACCATGCATGCTACATATCCTATCCACGTCATCTTCCTTAATGTGTAGTACTGTTCTTGATATCCCTCCTCCGCGTCTCTATTTTCTTCATTCTCCTCAAACAACGTTTATATTCTTCTTTTGCTTCGTCTCTTAACTCCTCCTTCCTCTTCCACTTGCTTTCTTCCTCCTTTACCTCAGTTCTTATTTCATTATGAGCTATATTAAACGAAGAGATAAACTGAACAGCTATCGTAAAGAATCTGAACAGAAAAGAAAAGTCATCAAACTTATTTTTAAAAGGCACTCATATAAGATAAACATAATATGATGAACTTGTTTTTGTTTGTTTATTTTAACCGTCTAATCACAATAAAATATTTTATTAAATATTAAAATATTAAAATATTATTACTATAATTAACATTTAATATTTAAAATATTTAAAATATATTAAAATATATTAAAATGATGCTCTTTCTATCGAAATGTTCGATTTACAATTAGAGCATCATTATTTGTTTTTGTTTGTCATCTTATTTCTTATTCTCATTTTTATTGTCCTTTTATCACTCTTCTATCCCCTCTTATTATTCCATTTATCCCTCTTAACCTTTCTAACTGCTCTACCTTTCCTGCTCCTCATTCAGTTCTTGAATATCTTCCTCTTCTTATTCGTGTTCTGCTTCTCTCATTCTTCATATTCCTTCATATATTTATCTAAAATATATAAAACCATGCACACAAACAAAACTGTTTACACTTTGGAAAACACGCGTTTCGACCTCATGAGGTCATTATCAGTGGCAAAAACATTAATTCATTAGTCTGTCTATTAAATCATACAATTTTGTACGTGTGGGATAAATATTCCTTCACGTTTCCCTCTTTCCCCTCTGCTTTTCCATCTACGTTCTTTCCTGTTTCCGTAAAACAAATACTCAAGCTGCTTATGAAGTGTAGCCAATTTCAGGGTTTCAAACGGAAAGCCAAAATTCAATATTGTTTGCTCTGTACATATGTCGGCCGTTCGACACACGCAGTCTCGATACGCTTCTGCAGCGCTTTACCTTACCTCATGCACAGGCAGGCAGCATCTCATACTCGAATGTGTAAATCAGCTCAGCAGGTCGGCATACAAGGTGTTTGTATGAGAAGCCGTTGTGGGCGGGGAATTCATAGATGAAATATAGAGATAAGGGTGAAGAATACACAGGTCATCTGCCCGCAGCGCTCATACTAACAAATCCAGTCCTTGGAAACTGAAAATACTCCTAATTGAAGGATGGCGGTAAATAATCTCAGGATGATAGCCACAACTTCTTTTTTTTTTAACTGCTTTCGTGTGTCTGCACTCCAAGAAAGCCAGTGCCTATGTTATTCTTCGTCGGCTGGAGCCTTCTAGCGTGTAATGATTCAGAATTATTTCTGAATAGTGTAAACATTTGGTAGGACCCTTCGCGCAGGATATTTGTCTATCGATACTGCTGGAGGTCTGCTGCTGAAAGGGCAACACAAAATAAGAAAATACGGACCCATTTTTACTCAGAGCGGGATACGAACAATAGATCCTAGTGTTCCAGCGGACCAAGAACAAAAATTTGTGACATAACGAAAATCATATGTAACACCCTGAAAATGGACGTAACGTTTGAAGTTCCTTCCACTTCAGAAATTCCCAACACTTTATGGTACCCGAAGGTTCATTGCCGCGTTCACAAGAGCCCGCCAGTCCCTATCCAGAACCAGATGAATCCAGTTCATACCACCCCATCCTATTACTCTAAGATCCATTGTAATATTATCCTCCCGCCTACGTCTGTGTCTTCCTGTTGGTCTCCTTTCTCCTGGTTTCGCCACCAAAACCCTGTATGCAATCCTCCTCTCTCCCTCTACGTGTCCTGCCCATCTCAACTTATAAAGCTCCTCAAAATGTAACTTTCTCCAGTCTCCTAGCAATTCATTAGTTCCAAATATTCTCTTCAGCACCCAGTTCTCAAACATCCTCAGTCTACTTCCCTTCTTTAGTGTCAGAGACCAAGTTTCACACCCATATAAAACTACAGGCAAAATTACAGCTTTACGTTTCTAGACAGTAGACGAGATAACTAATCAGAGTTCCGAACCAATAGCTAATTTTCAGATTTTCGTTTGCTGGGAACAAACCAAGAGAAAATCGACACGGCTTTTCAACACCAATCAGTTTACAGCCATGCACACGCACTTTCAAGTGGTTTGTTGGAAAGCTGAGGGGGAAGGGAGGCTTTTGATACTTGTGAGCTCTTTGCTGGGCAGCGTCACAAAACAGAAAAACATCAAAAAGCCCCTCACCGCTTCAACCAGTATGAAAACTGTTTCGGAAATACGCTTATTGCACTGAACCTTAAAAATAACAAAAGATCGCGAAATCCTGTCTTTATTGCACGAACAGGTATTTAATGCTTTAGTACGGTTTCACGGGGAATTTGTTAGAAGTTTTTTTTTGTAGTTCCCGCTATAGTTAACCAACTTCAGGCCGGGTCTCAAAGTTTTCTCTTAAAAATAAGACAAAATTTGTGTTCTTTTTCTTATTGTGTATTTAACGACGCTTTGTAAACTGCAGATTTTCCGCAGCGTTAAAAGACAATTATTTTGAACGACGATTCTGTAGGATCATGAAGAGAAACGATCGGAGACATCCTCGGTCAGGATAACAGGACACCGGTCCTGATCTGAACACGGGGCTTCCTGATTACGAAGGAGAGTTTTCGGGGTCATACTTTAATAAGTCAATGACTATCAAATAGATTACTGTGACAGTGTAAATAAAGCATAGTTAACAAGGATAAGTACGTTTATATAATTAGGCCTAATTTACATCATCACAGTTACTTACGTCTAAATTCATCGTGCAGAGTTCTTCTTGCAAAGCTAATTATCGTTCAATTTGTCAAAAGACATATTTCCTGTCATTTTGCCCCCTTTCACGAAAGCAAAATCAAGCTCTGTAAACGTGATGTTATAATTTATACAATGTACAAGGTTAAAAAAAACCAATTTTATACGAGTAATTCTTTGTTCAGAAACACATGTCAATATCCATAGTACGTGTGCTTGGCAGTGAGAACAATTTACCCCTATCTCTTTGTTAGATGTGAATCGCAGTGGGGGTAAGAGTAATCTATTTGTGATGATTTAATTCTATCGTTTCTAGTTCGATTATATGTTCAGTGCATGGAGTGCGTATAGGAACCTCCATGGTCCCTTTGCATCAGGTCATGGGAAAAACGCTGTTAAGTCTTCTGTTATTTGTTGCTACTCTATTGTATAAGCTGTTCTGATGTATCGTGAAGCGCGAAGTTTATTTAAATAGCATTTAAAAACCGTAATCTTGTTACAAGGTCAATCATTTGATGATGGTTACGAAAATAATTCACGTTTATTCGAAAAGTCAAATGAGATTAATTATGTAGGAGACATACCACGTTATTAAACATTGATGCAAGTGGTGTGTGTAACTAACAGTCCTTTAAATCAGTGATATCGAACCTGGGGTAAGCGTGCCCCCGGGGGTACGCGAAGACATCTTTGGGGATACGTGAAATATATATATTATTTTATGATGAACACTGAATAATCAGTAATGTAATTTATTTAATTTATTTCAGATGTAGATTTATTAATATGCATAACTTGAATTATACACCAACAACTTTGGGGGTACAAAGTTGAAGAGAAATTATATTTGGGGGTACGCGAACAAAAAAGGTTGAATACCACTGCTTTAAAGGATTAATTAAATACCTTGGCACTCTATGCAACCCTAGTTTGAAATGAACGAGTGTCTCAGGTGGATAGCTTGAAAGATGCTGAACGGAGTCACTTTAAAGAAAGAAAATTCTTTCCTGGATTACACTCATTGGCTTCTGAACAGTTCAAATAACATCTGTACCTTACTTCCTATGCCGAACATGCAACAACAGTTACCAGTCGAGGGTAATCACATAGGAGTTTGACGCAGATGTTAAACAATGCGGCCAACGTTTGAAAGTATTAACATCAAAATTCCTTAACTCTTGTCTTTACACGATGACCCATGCAGGAAGAGTAGAGGGACCTGATACACAGTGTTTATCTCCCACGCCATGAAGGTGGGGCGAAAGTATAACTGTGCCCATCCATAACCTCGGTGAAGCCAACTTCATGCCTCGTCGCCTACACGTCTATGAAAATAACCAATTGGAGAAGATGAAGGGACACTCCAGACCCGTTTTAGATGTTATGGTAGAGAAGAAGATGCCCATTGCAGTCATACAGAGAATATAACCACAGCCACAAGGCACAGTCCATAAATTTTACGGGCTAAACTGTGGCATATATTATGAACAAGTGTAAATTTTACGGGCTAAACTGTGGCATACGATATTATGAAGAAGTAAAATTTAGTTTCTGAAGGAGGAGAAAACGACACGATGGATTCCCGCAGTCTCTGACAAATGCCAACATCATTGGTTCAAACTGTTGAGAACGTAGATCACGACACACTACCGGAAATACAAGAATAAAGACTAATGTTCTGACTTACCGTGAATGCTTCCGTGTAACTGCACTTGAATTATTGTTCCACTGAAGAGCTTGAACCGCTGATACGATACATTTTGAAACGCACCTTCCTTCCATGCTGGGGAGAACCACGAGACGCAACGACCGTCCCGATGACGCAACAAATTTTGTGGGAGGCGCTGAGACGCAGACACCTGTGCAGGCAGAAAGAGAGAACAAAAGCTTTACATTGGTTGCTTGGCAACACAGCGCCACCACGACGTTGCACCAAACAACAATAACATCCATCAACATCGCATCATAATCAAAGTGGCCTTGATTAATGAACTATCGTTCTTGAATGTATTAACTAAATTCAAAGAAAATAATACTAAAGGGTACAATCAATTCAAATGCTGAGTGGGCTATTCTTTACAGAAATTCAGTTCAACAATACATTTCGATGTATAATTGTGTTATTGTTATTACAAGTGGAAACTAATGGAACTCTAAGGTGAATTTCTGAGGAAACAAGGTTGTTGTTTGTGGGTCATGTGAGAGAAATATAATGTAACATAGATGGAAATACCTTCAAACGTACAAAAAAAAAATAAAAAAAAGTGAGGACAAAAGACACAGAAAAATCGAACAACATGAAATGGCAGATTTTTATTAATGTGTGGTCCATTTAACGAAGCCGCTAACTCAGAGTATGCTGTATGTCGAATGATAGAATGATTAAAGATAGTTGAATTGAAAAAAAATGCGGAAGGAAGCGGCCTATCTACCATCCCGGTACTTTCCTGAGGGGACTGAGACAAACCTAAACAAGAGTTTCCGATCTCAGGGCCCAGACTTGAACCCGGAACTCTCGAGAAAGAATGGTCGGTGAAACAGCGAACTGCGATTTCGCGGACACCGCCACTGAACACGATCCTCAGTCAGCTAAATTCACTCTCACCCTCATAACCTCTGTCCCTAAGATATATTCTGACGTTACACTCACCTCCCACACTCCCTCTGTTTCTGGGGGTGACTGCTTTCTAACAGCTTTCCCCATCGAAAATCTTCACGCCACATGTCCAGCTCATCCTAACTCCACAGATTTCACTACATTCTTCAAATCACAGATTCCTGAGTTATTTTTATTTTAAATTGTCAGCTAAAGTCATTCCTCTTAGGTCCTAACTGTTATTATTTAAATAGTTTATATCATTGCTTCGTACTAGAACCCGTGACTGTCATAAATAGAGTTACAATGTTAACATAGTCCCAAGAAATTCCCCACATATTACTCTGACACTGACAAGGCTGTAATCTTACAACCAACTTCTTCACAGTGTCCGTCTTTGTACGTGTGTGCGTTCACTTTTTACACCTTCCTGGTGCAGTGTTGAAACAAAGGAGCACGTTCCGTAGACCGTTGGTGCAAACTTCTTAAACACAGCCGAACTACCATCAGAATTCTGCCTTTCACTAAGGATTCAAAGCCCTACATTTCACTCTTGTACCCGAGTAGCCCTGAGGTATTCAATAAATGTTAACAATTCCTCTGTGAGTACATGTCAATGAATACGGCACAATGAACTATGTGATCCGCGGACTAATATATCTTTATTTGTAGCCGACGTTCCCAAAACTATGGCAGGAATTTCGAAGTTTTCATTCAGTGAAATTTTAGATAGTACAACAGGACTACGTTCAATATCGAATGTCTTTAAATCCTGTACAGGCCTGCATCCGACACAAGTGAACAGGTACCTTTTTAAGTAAATTTGTGGACAGTTATAACTTTCAGGAAATGAGCTCCCCTATCATTCACCCCTCTCTCTCTCTCTCTGCATATATATATATATACATAACCCTGGAATACTATGGTGGAGTACTGGATTCCCCAACCGATTTTGCAGAAAATTACATAAAAAGAACTTCAAAATTCACATTTTTCATTAAATATTGTTAGGTTGGACAAACCACCGAGCGAAATACGGTACTGAATTCTTGGTTAGATGAACTTGAAAGGAATTAGACAAGTATTAGAGTGTACAAGATAAAGGTTAAAACCCAGAATGACATATTTCAATGGGCAGGTCAGAAAAAATATATTTGTATGGACACTTCTCTTAAAAGTTGTTGGCACCTTAAATAACAGGATCATTAGTTACGTGTTGTTTAATAACTGAAATATGTGACTGTTACCCAAAGCGGCGTTCCAATTCAGAAAACAAGTGTAGGACGCTCTTTGTAAAAGCTAATTTAAATCAAAGCGTAAACCGAGGATGAGTCATTTTAGTGGAATTTCGTAGTCAGCGTTAACGACCACGCCTTAAGTCATACTGCTCTCCTAGGGCCTACAAACAACTCAATACTGACAGACGACTGCATGCTTTTACAGATAATTATGAGGATAAGCAATTTTATCTCGTTACATAAGCAAACCCTAGCAGCATCCACATCTTGTTTGGAAGAGAATTCTCTAGGAGGCGGCCAGACGAAAAAGGCGTCTGTTGAGTTTCTTTTGTTTGAAATCGACGCGTCAGCAGACGGAGATGGCCGACAAGTTTTTCCCGAAGAAAGAACGTAGCCCTAACCCCAAAAAAGACGGCCTAAGTAGAATTTGTCTGTCAGATACAGAGACGGCCAAGTAATACTCAAATTAATAAGGTGTCCTGTAAAGGAAATATGTAGTTAAAAGTGTTGAGAAAGCTAGATCTCTTTATGCTAGAAGAGGGATGGAAACAAATAGAAAAATTGTGAGTTTTTTAATATGTAACATGTATGCAAAACTTAAACAAAAATTACAGTTACAAACAATAATTTTTAAGTATATAAAATATATGAATTGCATTCTATGAGCTAAATGGCTCAGTTTAAACAAAATAAATATAGAAAATTAAAACTTCTTCATGTATTGCATCGAGTAAAATGCCGTACGTGAAGGCGATTCCCATCAGTCTGTCCGTCGTGATCTTGTAAGAGTGAGAATAAAGTGGAAGTTCCAAAACACCATCAAGTCTAAAGTTTCCATAGGCCTACAAACCGTTAAGTGTAATACAATCTAAAAAATCTGTAAGAGCAAAATCATGAAACTTAATGGCTCGTATAAGCATATTGCATGTGAAATAAAGGCCTCCTTTTAAGTTTTAAAAGTGCACTAGCATTAAATCAGGGAGTACCGAAAGCTTTTAGAGGTCACATAAGGTTGCATCTTTCCTTTCGTATCGAGATATTAACACAAAGAAGTTTGGCGTATTATACCACAAGTTGATTTTAAACTGCAATATATAAATGCAGAAGACGATTAACAATTTCATAATTAGCATAACAATAGCATTGTTACATTCATTATTAATTTCAGCCTGTATTTACACGTCTTATTAAAACAGTGACTAGGCCAAGATACAGATTTAATCATCGCTTATAAAACACTTAATTAATGTTAGTTGTTGTGTGATAGGTCGCTAATAAGGTTCTGATAGTCTCTGCCGATACTGCAGGTGCAGAACAAGTCTTATGATGTTCTATGTAGTGTTAGCCGGTAGGTTCAGAGATGCTGTGTTTGCATAGATTAGTTTGAGTATTAGCCTATTCATTCTGCCAATAACATAATAGGAATTATAGTGACTGTTTTGTGTCCTTATTACTTACGTGTCCTTTCTAGGGACTCTTTATTGAAATAAATATAATAATAATAATAATAATTTTATTCTTTATTATATAACACTAACTCAACATCTACAGGAGCCAATTAGAGAGTTGACATCAGAAGATAAAATAAACATGAAACAATAAAAAGTGAAAACAAAATAAATTGCATATATAACCTATCAAAACACTTTCTCGTTACGAGAAAGTGTTCTCAAAGCAGACAATTTTTTCACCAAAAATATAAAAAAATCCCCACGTCATTCACAACAAAGATGAATCTTCATAAACTGCTCTCGCTAACTCACTTAATTACGAGTTCTATTGACGTTCAAATATAATAAGTATCATAAAATATTGTTATTAAAAGAAAGGCGTAATATTTACCATCAGAATTTCTTTGCAAAATCATGTCCAAATAATCTTGTGCTACCGAAGTTGCCAGCCCAGAAACTATCGCTCTGGAACGTCTGCTATATATAGGACCCACATGTCAGGTAAGTGATTAAATCTTTACCTCTGTGTGTAAGCCCATTCCGCATAAATACAACGTGAATATGGGATTCATTGTGACATCCACACCTGCTTTCAGAATTAGAAGCGCTGGGGGCTGGCTCCCATCCATCAATTCTTACATCGCAATCAAGTATTATATGGCTTTTGTTAATACAGGCATCGTGCCAGCTACGTCAACTGCACCTCTAACTATATATACATTTACTTCCGAAAGATAGTTCGCTGTGAGGAGGTCTTAATGTAGACACACTCACAGTAAAAGGGAAATAAAAAGGATCGAATAGCGCTAAAACTCTCGCCATGGGACACAATCCTGTGTCATTTCAATCCAAATTAAAATTAGCAACAACAGTTTTCTTACGATCAAAATTAATATTATCAGATCTAAAACTTCTTGACGATGGTGAAGAGTCAATTGAATTGATATTATCCATCGTCTAGTAAATATAAAACGTAAAACGACGTTTCGGAGATGGGACTCTATCTCCGTCTTCAGGCTCCTACACAGTCGGGCCCACTAGATAGAGCCAATCCCTATCTCCGGACGAAATTAATATTACACTAGCAACACAGTCATTTGTTAACATTCTGTTCATCAGTGATGGACAAACTCTATAGCATAATACATGAAAAAACTTAATTAAAAAACTTTATAGAAAGAAACATGAATGTCCTTGAACAAAAATTGTTTCAGCATTCATTTTGCTTCATCAAGGAAATTTGAGTGAGAATCGAAAAGTCTGAGACAGACAATTAAACATGTTTAATAAACATGTCACTTAGGGAAGAAGAGATTTAAATGTAACTGTTAATGACCGTTTCCTTAATATATTATTTGTCAAGCAAAACAGACCACCAATCAAAACTTACAAACTCCATGGACCAGACTCCTTCTTGAAAAGCTGAACTAGTCAAGAAATTTTTCTTCTTTTACGGAAGCGAAAGATTCATTGCCGTCTTTAGAGACTGCATCTGCATCGTGGTGTATGCGGGAACAGATAAATACTTAAAATAGCCGTCTACATAACCCATATTGTATTGTCTGCGCTAAAAC